CACCTCTGGTTTTTCTCTGAGTGTTCGTCTTTTTGTTGTTGTCGGTCTCTTGGGGAGATTAAGCGTTGGAACTCGAACTCTCTTTTTGGTTGGAGAGAGCTGTGGCGTTTCCCTACTGCCCTGTCGCCATCTTGGTCCCCCCCTCGAGACAAGCATTTATGTGTCACCTAGCTGTCCTGTCTTGCAGGCTGTGATGATCTCTACATTACCGTTCCTCAGGTGGCTGAGCCCAGGAAGGGGCCCCTGAGCCCAGAGTGGATTCCATCCTATGCCTGTCAGCGCCCCACGCCTCTCACACATCACAACACTACCCTCTCGGTGAGCTGCATCTTTTAGGAGGTCATAGCAGCTGGGACCATGGGTATGGCTGGTTGATAGGTTAGAGCAAGGCACCCTGCTCAGCCTGTGTCTTAACCAAACCTCTCCCTGCAGGAGGCCCTGGATATACTGGCAGAGGCAGCAGTCTTTGAAGGCAGTGAGGGTCGCTGCCTCTCTTTCCAAAGAGCATCTGCAGTGCTCAGGGCCCTGCCCTCCCCTGTCACATCCCTGAGGCAGCTGCAGGGGCTACCCTACTTTGGAGAACATTCTTCAAGGGTGGTCCGGGTAGGTGCCTGCCATGGTGAATGGGGTGAGTGGGTGGGTTATGGGGAGGCCTGGTTCATGAGGGGTGGCAGGAGGTGTGTGTTATGACAGTTTGGACACACAAGCCATCACACAGATTCCTTGTGTGTGAGTTGGTGGCTGAGAGCCTTGGTATAGTGCCTTATTAGCATTGGTGTCCTACCACACTCACTATCCCACACTGTCCACAGTGGCAGGAAAAAGCACCTGGAGTATATGTCTTTTGAGGCTCTGACATGTTCAGCTACCCCTTTAGATGAAGTCTTATACATTCTGCAAAGCAAACACTATATATCCTAGTATATGTTAGTTGTCTGAAAGTTGACTTATACTATCAAGTCCTCAGTTACTGCAACTGTAGTCCTGAGGGGATTTCATCCCTGCTATGGCACCAGCTCCTGGCCACCTCCCTAAGTATTGGCTTCTTCACCAGATCCCACTGGATTCTGGCAGCACAGAGCCCTTTCTTCAGGGTGTAGAGGGCATTCTCCCTCCTCAGGTTCCAGCCCTGACCTGACTGTTCTCTTTAATTCTTCTAGGCTTAGGATTTTGCTTTGTGCTCTTCCTTAGGAGCTGCTGGAACATGGGGCATGTGAGGAGGTGGAGAAAATTCGCTGCTCAGAGAGGTACCAGACCATGAAGGTACGAAGGCAGGTCTAGGACCCTGGTGTGTATGTACCTCCCAGTTCAGGAAATGTTTTGGGAAGCCAGCAGGAGCAGTTAACCGTGGGGTTAGAGAGGTCTCTGAGGAAATGGCAGCTAATCTAATACCTGATAGGTACAGGCTGCCATATGGAGACCGGCAGCCTGTATGAGCACAGGGAATTTTCTGGATCATTCAGCACCATCTGTTTTCACTAGACTATTAAGTGTGTCTGTCTGTCTGAGAGAGAGAGACAGAGCAAGAGAGAAGGAGAGAGACCTGGAGCTTGAACTCAGGACTTGGATGTTGTCCCTGTTTTGCTCAAGGCTAGTGCTATACTACTGGAACCACAGCTCCACTTCCAACGTTAGGTAAGCTGGGTGCCGGTGGCTCATGCCTATAATCCTAGCTACTCAGGAGGCTGAGATCTGAGGATCATGGTTCAAAGCCGGCCAGGGCAGGAAAGTCTGTGAGACTCTGTTTTTTTTTTTTTGGGTGGGGGGTCCGTTCATGGGGCCTGAACTCTGGGCCTGGGCGCTGTCCCTCAGCTCTTCAGCTCAAGGCTAGTGCTCCACTACTTGAGCCACAGCGCCACTTCTAGCTTTTTTCTTTTTGCTTATGTGGTGCTGAGGAATGGAACCCAAGGCCTCATGCATGCAAGGCAAGTGCTCTACCACAGAGCCACCTTCCCAGCCCCTGTAAGACTCTTAGCTCCAATAAACCACCAGAAAACTGGAAGTGGTGCTGTGGCTCAAGTGGTAGCCTTGAGCTGAAGAGATGAGGAACAGCACCCAGGCCCAGAGTTCAAGCCCCATGACTGACCCCCCCCAAAAAAAATTAGAGATAATAATCTAAAGGACTTTCTTGCCTGTGCTGGCTTCTGTGATCCTCAAATCTCAGCCTCTTGAGTAGCTAGGATTACAATCGTGAGCCACCAGCACCTAGCTCCTATTTTTTTTTTGTTGTTGTTGGATGTAGGGCTTAAACTCTGGGCTTGGGTGCTGTCCCTCATCTCTTCAGCTCAAAGCGAGCGTTCTACCTCTTGACCTACAGCCCCACTTCCAGTTTTCTGGTAGTTAATTGGAGATAAGAGTCTCACAGAGTTTCTTGCCTGTGCTTGTTTTGAACTGTGATCTCAGATCTCAGCCTCCTGTATAGTTAGGATTACAGGCGTGAGCCACCAGCACCAGGCTCCAGCTCCTATTTTTGAGCCACCTTTTTTTGAGGGGCTATTGTCATGTATGCTAAACAGCATACAGCAAAATGTGGTTTTTTTGGGGGGTGCAGTATGACATCTCTGTGTGTGAGTGTGTGTGTGTGTGTATGTGTGTGTAGGCTATCCTGGTGCTGTGTGTGTGTGTGTGTGTGTGTGCAGGCTGCTATCCTGGTGCTATGGGCCTGCCTTGTCTTCATGGTATCTTTTTTCTCTGTGTACTTGCTAATCTGGTATGAAGGCTAGTCTTCATACTAGCCCAGCCCTTTGGATGCCATGGTTTTGTCTACTCTGACACCTTTCTGACACCTGGTTTGTAGCTGGAGGTGTCAGGTCATCAGATATGTGTTGAGGTAGTTGGTATAGTTGGTGTTGTGTGCCTTCTTGGGAGGGCAAGGTAATAAAAAAAGCTTCCCAGGATGGCTGGGGCTTGAACCCACAATCGGTGAAAGGAGTCAACAGCATTCAGTCACACTGGGTGGAAGCCTTTTTATTAGCCATGTGGCATCTGTCCCTAGCTCACAGAGTTAGAGAACAGCCCCACTTGCTTTTCATGGGGGATTTTTATAGGAAGGGGTTTCACACAGGTCATGTTTACCCAAGCAAGCAAGCAAGCTTACGGAAGGAAAACATAGCCTGAGTCACAAGAGCATAGGCAAAACATAATTTTGACTTAGTCAGCATGGTCAATACTATGAATGCTATTGACATTATTACAAAAAGTCAAAACGTATCCTTGGCTTACAGAAGTCAAAACATAACCTTGGGAAGGGATAGTATATTTTAAATCTCAAAACATAAGAATTTATTCCCATGGTTCTCAAAACATTAGAAACTCATTCACATGGTTGGGGGGTACCCTGAAATTTTCTTTACAGAAGTGATTTTTATTATAAGCTCCTGACTAATAAATATAGCAACTCAGTACAGCTCGTGATAAGCCTCAAGGTTGCCAGTGGCCTTCAGCAAAGTTTGTAGTAAATTGCAAAACTTGAGAGAGGGAAAGATGTTTGCTTTTTAGCAAGGATGTTTCTGATTTCACATTTTTGTTCCCATAGATATCCTCCTTTCCAAGGGAAAGGGGCTCAGGGGAGAGAATAAGTTTCCTGCAGCAGGAGGGACTGAGGCTAGACAATAGAAGGAATTTTCTGCCAGTGAATAGTAACTCAGATACCTTGAATTTTTGGTGGGGATTATCACAGGCAAGGCTTACTGTGGGAGATTGCCCAGAACCTTGTCAGTATTGACGGGTAAGTCTTGGAAGAGTTAGCCGCAAGCTATGTATGAAGTATTTTTGGGCATGGGGCCTGGGACCTGGGGCAGGCTGTCTGCTGAGTAAAGCAACATGGGTGTTGAGATGAAGTGATCTCAATGTTGACATAGGTAGGTGAGTGGTTTCCCCCTCAGTTCCAGCTCCAGCCCCAGTGAGGGTCTGCTGGGCAGGGGATGGAGAAGAACTGACTGATGCTGGAGCCTTGGTCTCCCTGTCCTCCATCCTACCCTCCTTCTGGGAATTCCAAAGTCACCATATGTACCCAGGCTAGCAGAAAGTTATATTAGTAATCAAGGAAACAGAAAGTTATATTAGTAATCAAGGAAATTGCTTCATAAGCAATATAATTATGAAGCTGATTATTTTCTTAATCATTTTTTATTGTAAAATGACTGTACAGAGGGGTTACAATTAATGAGTAAGGTAATGAGTACATTTCCTATTGAGCATTGTTACCTTATCCTTTGTTTTTCCCCTACCATCCCTTCCCTCCCCATCTTAATCATTTTTTTTAAGACAGTTTACTTGGTAGCTCAAGCTAGCCTCAAACATGATTCTCCTGCCTCAGCCTTCTGAGTGTTAGAATTATAGGTATACACCACAATCTTGGCATTCATCTTATTGAGGATTAAATTCAGGACCTAGTGCTTGCTAGTCTGATGCTCTACCTCTTGAGCCACATCTCCAGTCCTGTTTTTTCCTGGTTTATTATTGTTATCAATTGTTGCAGTACTGGGCCATGAACTCAGAGTCTCATGCTTGCTAGATTGGCACTTCACCACTTAAGTCATACTTCCAGTCTTGTTTTTTGTTGGTTATTTTGGAGATGGAGTCTAGTGAACTTTTCTGCCCAGGCTGGCCTTGAATTTTAGCCCTCTGGATCTCAGTTTCCTGAGTAAACTAGGATTATAGGTGTGAGCCACCAGTGCATTTTTTTTTTTTTTGCCTGTTCTGGGGCTTGAACTCAGGGCCTGGTCTCTGTCTCTGAGCCTCTCGGTGCTCAAGTCTAGAGCTCTACCACTTGAGTCATAGTGCCACTTCCGGCCTTTTCTGTTAATGTGGTACTGAGGAATCAAAACCCAGGAAGGGCTTCATGCATGCTAGGCAAGCACTCTACCACTAAGCCACATTCCCACCCCTCACCAGTGAATTTTTTTTTTTTCTTCAAATCATGGGATTTGAACTCTGGGCCTGGTGCTGTCCTTCAGCTCTTCAGCTCAAGGCTAGCTAGCTCTACCACTTGAGTCACAGTGTCACTTCCGGTTTCTTGTGGTTTATTGGAGATAGAGTTTCACGGCCTTTCCTGCCTGGGCTGGCTCTGAACCTGATCCTCAGATCTCAACCTGAGTAGCGAGGCTTCCAGACGTGAGCCACTGGCACTTGGCTCACCAGTGCATTTTTAAACTCAGTATCTGTTGGTTACTGTGTCAGTGGCCTGCCTTGTGCTCTGGGTCCAGAGAATCAAGGGAAAGATGTCTAGAAATTGAAGGGCTGTGGCTGTTTATCCCCTCTGCCTCTCTGTACACCAGCTCCATCCTCTTGTGACGCACATCAGTGCCTTCCACTGATAGGAGACCCAATCACAGAGGGTTTAGACCATGTGTGCAGCCTCCACGACTGTGAGCTGGCCTCAGTCTCATTCCAAAGTTTCTGTGAAGAGTCTCAGGCCCATAGGCCAGGGCAGGCGACATGCTTGGTCCTGAGTTCCCCTGGACCAGTTGGCAACTGGGTCCTCCTCCTCCCACCTACTACATGTGGGAGACTTGCCACCCCATACTTGCCATGTTGAAGCCTTGAGTAGGCCTATCCAGCCCTTTCAGCATTTCTGCAGAAACAATCCTCTTGCTGATGGACACCTTGTTTTTGAGAACTACAGCAATAAGTTCCAGCTGCTATCAGTGTGAAAGGCATAGTTTTCCCAGTGACCTGAGAGCCTGCTGAGTTGATGAATTAAGAAAATGTTGGTTCTGTTAAAAGCACAGGCTTGGCCTGTATGAGCGTGGAGAAGGGACCTCTCGTGTTGTGATTAGAAAGTACCTTACTGTAGGCTTTTGGCAGGCAGGTAGTAGAGCCCCTTCCCACCTTGAGCTGTTCACAGATTGTGTGAATTCACTCCTTTGAGAAAGTGTTGCACAGGCCGGACTCTGGGTCAAGTCTTTGCCCTCTGCCTTGGGCACAAAAGCTACAATGTGTGTCCCCTGGGAAATTTGCTCCTGACCCAGTGCTTCCTTCCTTCATACAGCTCTTCACCCAGATCTTTGGGGTGGGGGTGAAGACAGCCAACCGGTGGTACCTTGAAGGGCTTCGAACCCTAGATGAGCTCCGAGAGCAGCCCCAGAGACTGACCCAGCAGCAGAAAGCAGGTGAGCTCAAGGGAAGACTGGCCCTGAGCTTCCCCAGAGCCACCTGGGCAAGAAGTTTCCACAAACTAAAGCCCTTTGTACTGCATGGATCTGCGGGTTCCCTGAGTGGCAGGAAGTATTGGGGGGGGGTCTTGGCTGTAGGCGGGTGGACTTCCTGACATCTTCCCCCTGCAATCAGAATTACTGGAGCCCTTTTTTGGTGTTGCTGTAGCATCTGGGGCTCAGCTGAGGTGTGGGGCCAAGTGGGGAGGGCAGGCTGAGAGAGTCAGGAGGGTTGTGATGCCCACAGGACTGCAGCACCACCAGGACCTGAGCACCCCAGTTGGGCGGTCTGATGCTGAGGCCCTGCAGGAGCTGGTGGAGGCAGCCGTGGGACAGATCCTGCCTGGGGCCACTGTCACACTCACCGGTGGCTTCCGGAGGTAAGGGAGCCCAACATGCCCTTCTTCCTTGACTCCAGGTCCCTCCCCAGGGTAGGAACCAGAGCCTTGAACACTGGTGGCCTTCTTACTACCTGAAGGAAACATAGCCCAAGGCGGAAGTGGGAATCAGATTGTCTCCCCTCAGAGGGAAGATGCTGGGCCATGATGTGGACTTCCTCATCACCCACCCCGAGCAGGGCCAGGAGGTGGGGCTGCTGCCCAGACTACTGCACCACCTGCAGAGCCAGGTGAGGCCCTCAGTGCCCCAGACCAGGGGTGGCCACGGACTCGCCTTCTGTCCTCCTGGCACTGTGATGATACCTGGCACACAACTGCCTCTCCCTGCAGGGCCTTGTCCTGTATCACCAGCACCATCCCAGCCACTTGGGGGACCTCACATACCTGGCCCAGCAGAAACACACCATGGATGCCTTTGAGAGAAGTTTCTGCATTTTCCGCCTGCCACAACCTCCAGGGGCTGCTGAGGGAGTCCTGGAGTCCTGGAAAGCCGTGAGGGTAGATCTGGTGGTTGCCCCCAGCAGTCAGTTCCCTTTTGCTCTCCTTGGCTGGACTGGCTCTCAGGTAGGTCTGGGCTATTACTGGAGCTGTTCAAGGCCAGGGTAGGTTACCTTGACTCAGAGCAGTCATTTCCCCCTAGCTTTTTGAGCGGGAGCTGCGCCGTTTCAGCCGCAAGGAGAAAGGACTATGTCTGAACAGCCATGGGCTGTTTGACCCAGAGAAGGTATGCTGACAAGAACTACCCTGCTTCCTGGCCCCAGAAATGGCCCAGATCCCTCCATCCTAGAACCCACAGAGCCCAGATCAGGGTCTCAACTCCTTCAAAATGTTGAAACCACAAGGGTACCCTGTCATAGCAAAGGTCCCTGCTTTCTGCCTCCCCGTCCAGCCTGTCCACAGTAAAACTGTCTGGCTGGTGCCCTGCACATATGCAGACAGGAGGGTTCAGGGGGAGGGCACTGGGTGTCACAGTAGACTGTGGGTCTTGTTGCAGAAGACAATTTTCCATGTTGCTTCTGAGGAAGATATCTTCCGACACCTGGGCCTTGAGTACCTTCCCCCTGAGCAGAGAAACGCCTGATCCTGTGGTGTCCCCACCCCCACTGGTAAGAAATGAGGGGCTGCTAGATGCTTGGCTACGTCCCACATCCTCATCTCTGCCAGCAGAGGGGTTATCACTGCAGGGGCTTTGGTGGGCCCTGCCTAGCCAGCCTCATAGCTGTGTGGCTCGGGGTCAGCTTTAACTTCCCCATGCCTCAGGGTCCTAGCCTGGTAAGGGCTCTGAGCAGTACCCACATCCGGAGCTATGGCAGAGCCTTCGGTCCTGGTGTGCGCATTTGTTCAGTTGAGATGTCTTGGAGGCTCCTGCAGAGCATCCCACTAGAAGTGCCTGGAAGGGAAGCAGGCATCCCTACCCCACGCTTGTACTGTGAGGTGGAGGACGTCATTCTGGCCTTGTGACATCTTCATAGGGGTGTTGAGGGGGGTGCGTCAGCATCTTCAGGCCCTCTGCAGGCCAGTCCAGCATTGCAGTCCCCAGCCAGACTCTTCTTTTGCCTTTAAGGACAAAATCATGCCTTGCCTCTCTGGCAGCAGCTCTACCCAGCTTTGCAGCAGTCTCCAAACCCAAAAGATGCAGTTCCAAGCACAGCCCCAGGCCGCTACCATTCCTGCCACCCTGCCAACTTCAGTACACACTCTCCTGGGCCCCCCATCCAAGCCATTTCCTGTCTCACTATTTCCTGCTGATGGGTGCCAGATTGGACATGGTCAACTCCTCATCTCTGAGGCAGAAGTGCTGGAGAGGATCATCTTGTGTGTTCCACTTGTTTAGGCACAGTCTGGTCCTTGCTGTGCCTACCTGGAGCCCACTCTGGTCTCCTTTGGGACTTGGTCACCTTGTCAGGTGAGGGCTCTTCTGACCACTTATCAATTTTAAAATAAACCGGGTGCTGGTCGCTCATGCCTGTAATCTTAGCTCCTCAGGAGGCTGAGATCTTAGGATCATGGTTTGAGACCAGCCTGGGCAGGAAAGTATGTGAGACTCTTATCTCCAATTAACCACCAGAAAACCAGAAGTGGTGCTGTGGCTCAAAGTGGTAGAGTACTAGCCTTGAGCAAAAAGAGCTCAGAGACAGTGCCAAGGCCCCATGACCAACAAATTTTTTTAAAAAAAATAAACATGCAATAAAGAGGGCTCTGGGTGTGTAGTTTTATAGGTTTTTAACATATCTCATGCAAAAACTTGTCACTTCTGCCATCACTGGGATGCAACAGTCTGTCCCATAGATATCACCTTACACTGTCCTGTTATGGTCACATGTTCCCACCCTGCAACCCAGTGGTTCTGTCATAAATGTGGGATTGAGCTGCATTACTGTCTGCCCCCTTAGCACAAAGCCTTTGAAAGTCATGCAGTTTGCTGAGGCAGCAGTAGTTGTTCCTCTATCAGTGCAGGTTATAAATGCTTCATGGTGAATCGAGTCTGCTGATGGAGGCTTAGTTTCCAGGCTTTGATGATTATTCATAAGTTGCTATATCCATGAGGGTAAGATTTGGTGTAAACACATTTTCATTTCCTCTGAGTCAATAGCAAAGCATACGATTTTGGGGTCATGAGGGAAATATGCCTTGAAGTTTACAAAGAAGAGACACATTGCAGGTTACCAGCAGAGTGAACCACCTGTCTTCATTAAATGTTCTTTAAAGCAGTTGCTCTGGCTCTGACAGCACTTAGTGTTTTTACTATTTAGCCATTTTAGTAGGACTGGCAGGTATGGTTTGGATGTGAAATGTTCCCCCAGAATTCATGTGTTGAAGGGTTGGCCCCAGTGCAATATCCAGAGGTGGGGCTTGGGAATGACTGGATTGTTAGGGCTCCCTTCTCATCATGGTTTGATGCATAGGTGAGCATGGTATATTTGATGGCAATATTGGAGATGGTAGAAACTAAGAAGTGGGCCCAGTTGAAGGACTGGTCACTGAGTTTGTCCTTGAATGGGATACCTGTCTTCAGTCCATTTTGACTTCTATCTGGTCACCATGAGATTAGCAGCAGCTCTGTTCCACCATGACCCCTCTGCCATGTTGTGTCTCACCTCAGGCCTGGAAACACTGGAGCCAAGTGACCACTGACTGAACCTCTGAAGTCATGAGCCAAAAGGAATTTTTCCTCCTTTAAGTTGTTAGTATCAGGTGTTTTGTCACTGCAGTTGCAGACTTAACACATTGTGGTTCATTTCCTACAGACATCTTCCTTCCTCTCCATACATCCTCCCCTTCTGCTGTGGAGCTTTATTGGTTTTTGTTCTTTTGAGGACAGAGCAGTCTTTTTTTTTTTTTTTAATTTCTTCCTTTTTTATTTTTGCCACATCTGGGACTTGAACTCAGGACCTAGGGGGTTATCTTTGAGCTCTTTTGGTCAAGGCTGGCATTTTACCATATGAGCCACAGATCCACTTTTGCCCCTCTTTTTTTGGTGGTTAATTAGAAACAAGTGCCTCCCAGACCTTCTTGCCTGGGCTTATTTTGAACTGTGATCCTCAGATCTCAGCCTCCTGAGTAGCTAGAATTACAGGTGTGAGCCAAGTCTTTTTAATTTTTTTTTGTCGGTCATGAGTCTTGAACTCAGGGCCTCAGTGCTGTCACTGAGCTCTTCAGCTCAAGCACTGTACTACTTGAGCCACTTTTGAGCACCACTTTCAGTTTTCTGGTGGTTGATTGGAGATAAGAGTCTCATGGGCTTTCCTGCTAAGACTGGCAATGAACCACAATCCTCATATCTCAGCCTCTTGAGTAGCTAGGATTATAGGCATGAGCCATTGGCACCCAGCTCTTTTTATTTTTTACACACTTTTGTTAAAGAGGTTTTCAGTAAACAGTCTTTCAGTAGAAAATAGAGAATATGAAAACTAGCCTCTAGCTGCTCTGCTCTGGGCCAGCTCATGTGGTAAGCCAGAGGGGTAGATGGCCCTTGCCCCTTCCTTTATTAGCATGTCCTACAGCTATTTTTTTTTTTAAATAGGTTCTTGCTATGAAAAGACCACACCAGACTAGTGGCTAGTTTCCATCTCTGTGTAGCCCAGGCTGGCCCTGCAGTCCAGTCCTCTGTGTCAGTCTCCCTAGTGTTGGTTGAGATTATTGACATGACCACCCATGTATTCTGTTGTTTCCCAGAAGACAGACATTCTACTTTGTACTCTTTGTGCCCCAGATAAAACCAATTTTGCATGAGCATTCATTTCATACTTTTTCAAAAGCATACATTGATCAAGAATCTTATGGCTCTCTTTGGATTGTCATCTCAAGATTTATGTGAAGATCTAGCCTTCTCTCCCCTCTCCTTATGAGAAAATGAACCCCTGGCATCTTGTGGGTCTAGGCCTTGAGTTCAAGCCCCAGGACTGGCAAAAAAAGAAGTCTTATGGACTTTCCTGCCTGAGTGAGCTGGCTTTGAACTGTGATTCTCAGATTTTATCCTCCTGAGGTACCTAGGATACAGGCATGAGCCACCAGGGCTGGGAAGGTGGCTCAGTGGCAGAGTGCTTGCCTTGCATGCCTGAGGCCCTGGGTTCCATTCCTCAGCACCACAGAAGCAAAAAGAAAAAAACAAAAAGAAAATAGCGCTGTGGCTCAGGTGGTAGAGCGCTAGCCTTGAGCTGAAGAGCTGAGGGACAGTGCCCAGGCCCAGAGTTCAGGCCCCATGACCGGACCCAAAAAAAAAGATGATAGTACAGGCATGAGCCACAAATGCTTGGCTTGAGGTAATTTTTATATAGGTTTGAGGTAAGGGGTCATTACCTAGTTGTCCTCACATAATTTATTAAAGATACTCTTTTCCTATTAGATTCATTTTGCAAAATTAATTTAGCCACCAATGGTGGAGCTCCTGTTTAGCATACACGAGGCTCTGAGTTCAAACTCCAGCACTGCATCATCATCATCATCATCATCATAATTTACTATGTTTGTAGGTTATTTTTCTTGGACTCTGAATTTTCCATTGATCTCTGTGTCATCTTATGCTGATACTATAGTGTGTGTGCATCTCTGCCTGTGCATCTCTTCATCTGGTGCTCCAGAATCTGTGGGTCAGAACTGTCACATCACATTATGTTTAGCTGGGCCAATGTTTCCATTACTGGTGTGGTCACAAGACAAAAGGTAGCCAATGACATCAGGAACACAGCTTCAGACAAGATGGATAGGGAGATGGGAGGCCTGTGTGGGGCTGCTGGGAAAGATGGGTTCCACCTGTCAGCCTCAGTGGCTTCTTTGGCCTGCAAAAAGTTCTCTCAAATCTGTATGTGAGGATTCTTGGTCTGCAAGGGGCAGAAGGGGTGTGTGTGTGTGTATGAGGCTTCTTGTGAAATCAGGCCACACCTACCAATCACCCTTTGCTGTTACCTGAGGCATAGCAGGGGGTTATGTTCTCCGAACCCAAATGTGGAAGTCCTGGGCTCAACTCCTTGTTGCCTATCCTGTGGATTGGCCCATTTCTGGGTGTTCTGCTATGTTTTCTATGCACACGACAATCCCCAGGACTCCATCCTAGCCCTAGAGGTGGAGGCCCATCAGAGCTATAAATTCGACTGTCTTTCCCAAGTGAGGTGAGCCTGGCTTGGGCAAAGACTCAGATAAGAACAAAATCTTAACAGAACCCAAAGGAGGGAACCCATACTGCCTGTGGGTTGTTCTGGAAGCCAAGCGTGGTTTGGAAGCCAAGCAGTTGCTTTGGTGGTGTTTCCTACCAGGGCAGATATTTTTTCCCAAAAGGATGGCCCTGAGTCTGCTTTCTGGCTCTGCCACAGTGACCTTTCATTTGCCCATCGAGGGGCCTTGCTCCCAGTTACTGCCATCCCTGCAAGGTCCTTGTGCAGAGGGAAGGAGCAGAAGGCCAGGAAAAGATCTGGATGCATGAGTATGACCCCCCACGCCCCAGCCATGTGTAATTCTCTGCCAGGCTAACTAGAACAAAGTCCCCAGAAGATCTGCCTGGCAACAAACATTAAGCACATACACAATTGTATGCAACACATGCCCTGAAGACAGTACACACATGCATACAACATATGTGCTGCAGGCTCTTAATGCAGACGCTTAGGCACCCTTAAACACAGTCTCACAGAGCTATGTACATGGGAGACACACACACTCACTCCTTGGCTTCCCTCTAACAGTTTCCTTACTGTGTTAAGAGTGACCAAGAGGCCAGGTATGGTGGTACCTGCTTCTAATCTCAGCACTCTGCAGGTGGAGGCAGGAAGATCACAAGTGAGACATTCAAACAAAGAAGTGACCAAAAGAGGGGCTGGAATTTTGTTTTGTTTTTGATTAGTCATGGAGCTTGAACTCAGGACCTGAGTTCTGTCCCTGAGCTCTTTTGTTCAAAGCTAGCACTCTACCACTTTGAGCCACAGTGCCACTTCGTTTTCTAGTGGTTAACTGGAGGTAAGCGTTTTGGACTTTGCTGCCTGGGCTGGCTTTGCACTGCAATCCTCAGCTTTTAGCCTCCTGAGTAGCTAAGATTACAGGTGTGAGCCACCAGTGCTCTGGGTGGGGCTGGGACTTGTTTATGCTTCTGCCTGAGCCAGGCAGATCTGGTAAAGTCACAGAGGAGCACTAATAAGCCTCCAGGAAGTCTTCTCCTGGAGACCTTTTGGTCCTGGCAGTCCTGACCCCCTAGGCTTGACTTCTGCCCTTCACCCTGGCCCTGCCTCAGCAGCTCTACCAAGCCAGGCCCTGTCATCTAAGCCCAAGCAGGGCTGATGGCTGTGTGAAGCTATTTTTAAGTTCAGTCGTGTGTACCTCCCCACCCCCAGCAGCTCTGCTACTGGCCACCTGCCACTGCCTGTCCCTCCTGGAATGCTGACTGGCAGTTACGTGGAATGGGGGCTGGGAAGACTGTTATAAAGCTGGAGTGCTAGGGAGGCAGCTGTCCCCATCCGGAGCCCCTGTGTCCCCTTACACCATGGCCGCACACCGCCTAGTAATGGTCCGTCACGGTGAGAGCACGTGGAACCAAGAGAACCGATTTTGTGGTTGGTTCGATGCAGAGCTGAGTGAAAAGGGGGCTGAGGAGGCCAAGCGGGGAGCCCAGGCCATCAAGGATGCCAAGATGGAGTTTGACATCTGCTACACATCGGTGCTGAAACGGGCCATCCGTACCCTCTGGACTATCCTGGATGGCACGGACCAAATGTGGCTGCCTGTGGTGCGCACCTGGCGCCTTAATGAACGGCACTATGGGGGCCTCACGGGCCTCAACAAGGCTGAGACAGCAGCCAAACATGGGGAGGAGCAGGTGAAGATCTGGAGGCGCTCCTTTGACATCCCACCACCGCCAATGGATGAGAAGCACCCTTACTACACCACCATCAGCAAGGTGAGCTGCTCGGAGGAGCTCCAGGTTGGGAGCCTGGGGTAGGGGCCCACCTGCCCAGGGAACAGTAATGTCTCTGCCTCTCCCTCAGGAGCGCCGCTATGCAGGCCTGAAGCCTGGAGAGCTGCCTACCTGTGAGAGCCTGAAGGACACCATTGCCCGGGCCCTGCCCTTCTGGAATGAGGAGATTGCACCCCAGATCAAGGCTGGCAAACGAGTGCTCATTGCAGCCCATGGGAATAGCCTGCGAGGCATCGTCAAACACCTGGAAGGTAAAGTCCATGCTCAGGAGGCAGATGGGTAGGGTGACAACAAAAGCTTCCTGTGTGCTAGTTAAACAGAGGTTCAGGGTGTGTGGGGGTGTTTGTAAGTGGGGGAGAGAGTTTGTAAGTAGATTGAACGGAGAGGGTTGAGAAGCATCTAGTTCTAGTGATACTTTCCTATTTCTGCACATTTTAATCTATTAAGTCTGGCTGCCCAGGAAAGTGGGGTCAGGAGCTGACTCAACAGAACAGATTTGGTGGTGGCATCTGGCCCAGTTAGGAAAAGGCAGGGCTCAAAGCCCTAGCTTGCTGCAGGACCCTGGGAAAACCATGAGTCCCTCATGACATTTCTCCTAGTGCCAGCCTTGTTTCTGCTGTGTAGCCTAGGCTGGCCTGAACTCAGTCCCCAGCCTCAGGTGCCACCTTGCCTGCCTCTTAATTCAGGGTTCCTCTCATAGTGGGTCCCATCCTCCCCCCCTCCCCCAACTTCTCTAGGCAAAGACTAAGAGTACCCAAAGATGGGTATGGAGTTAATGGAGTTAAGACCCTCGGCCCCCACTGAAGAGCAAGGGCTGACAGGTGGGTTGTGCAGGGGCCCTTAACTAATGGTCTTTTCACCCAGGGCCTTAACATTAATCTCTAGATGACCTTGGGGCTGGCTGGGGTCACAAAAATAAAGGAGGAGAGCATACTTCAGATCTCCAGTCCCTGGGGACACTGGATCCAATTAGAGTGACCCTCTGTCCTTCCCTTCTGAGCCTTCATGCCTCTGAGCCTGCTCTGGAAGAGGCATACAAGTGACAAGAGCCCAGAGGGAATGGAGGGTGTCTGACTACCCAGAGAACATTCTCCAGTAGTCTTAGATGGGGGTGGGGTGATGGCAATACCAAAGGTTGAGCTGCTATTCCCGGAGGGGGCTGCTGGAGTAGGCAGGGTCAGGTTTCTACCTTCTCCTCTGCTCTGAACTGCTAGAAACCAAACAGCTAGTGCTCTTCCCCACCGTCGACTGTGGTTTGGCCAGTTCATGTTATACTGAGACTGTGGCACCACAGACCACAGCTGCCCTGCCACTGCTGCCCCATCAAATTGGGTTCTGCCCAGACCTTTTAAGCACATTTCTATAGCCTCCAAGGGCTAGGTTAGTGTCAAAAGGCCTAGTTCCCAGTTCTGTGGTCCACAAAGGCCAAGGGATCTGCTGTATGGATGGGCTGGGGACAGAAGGGTCAAGGATGTTGTTCCTTTGGTCCAGGGATGTCAGACCAAGCCATCATGGAGCTGAACCTGCCTACAGGAATCCCCATTGTGTATGAGCTGGACCAGGCACTGAAGCCCACCAAACCCATGCGGTTCCTGGGCGACGAAGAGACTGTGCGGAAGGCTATGGAGGCGGTGGCTGCCCAGGGCAAGGCTAAATAAGGGAGAACATAAGCAATAAAAGCACCTCTGCATGCTGCCTTCAGTTGAGCATGTGTCCTGCTTATCCCACTGGCTTTGGGAACCCCAAGCAGGCCTGCAGCTGCCCCCCCAATCCCTGTCAACAGCCGACACCAGCCCAGTGTCAACCGCTGACAAGTAGAGACAGGTGCCGGGGCTGTTTAGCCCTAAACTGTGAACGAGCCTCTGAGGCAACCCTAACTAAAGCTTTAAAGCCATTTGGTAGCTATATTCTCAGCCCACAATACTCTGGGAACAACCTAAGCGACCAAACCCTGCCACAAGAAGTGAGACCCATGGACAGGACAGGGCTGTAGTGCTTCCTCACCTACTGCCTTCAAAGAATGGATGCTTCTCTACCATAGTTGTTACTCTGAGCCCGACATCCTTGGTGGGGACAAGTAACATGAAGCCTCAGGCCCACAACAGGGCATACTCCATAAGGCCTCCAGTCTTAACAGTGAACAGGGGAGAAGCCTAAGGGATAGGCAGGATATAGGAGGGACTGGGTTGGGGCATGGCCTGGGGCCAGCAACTTGTCACCTTGACCTGAAGTTGGGAATCGAATCCACCTGGCATTTCCCAGATGGCCAGTGTGGCTACCTTTATCCACACTCATTTTTAATTTCTGTCAGTTGTGGGGCTTGAACTCTGGGCCTGGGTGCTGTCCCTGAGCTCTTCAAGGTGAGCACTCTACCACTTGAGCCACAGCGCCACTTCCGGTTTTTAGGTGGTTAATTGGAGATGAGTTGAACATACTTTCCTGCCCAGGCTGGCTTTGAACTGTGATCCTCAGATCTCAGCCTACTGTGTAGCTAGGATTACAGGTGTGAGCCACTGGCACCCAGCTCTCTGTCCACACTTATGCTAGACCACATGGCTAGGACTCCTTGGTCTCTCCTGGAGCAGAAATGAAAGACGCCAACTTCAGCTACATCCTGTTTCTCTTACATGTGGCTGGGCCACAGATGTAGACTACACATGTACACTCCCCGGACACAATTCAGATGTAGGTGCATGTGTGTGTGTTCCACATGGGAGTATTCAGACCATAGTAGTGAAGAGCATAGCTGAGCCTGTGGACTCAAATGTACTTCAATTTGTTCTTCAGAGACATAGGTGGGTTGGGACAGAAAATGGGAAGATAGCAGGAATATATCACTGTGTTCTTTCTCCTGAAACAAAACTCAGTTGAGATGTACCCTAGGGCAGCAGACACAGGGTGAAACACACAGAAGGGCACAGACGGCCTTAGCTTTTTCACACACCCAGAAGCAGAGAACTGGGGTGGGGCAGGGAAGGCCCCTGCTGTTAACACTGTTACGGTCCACTGCAATTCTGATTATAGACACTCCTAAAAGCAACTCTCTTTAAGTTCCCAGGTCCCATTCAAATAGCTATAACCACCACCCCTTAGACAATGGAGAGATGAGTTAGAAAAGGCAAATGCAGAAAGAAGACAGCTTCCGGATGCTCTGCTCAGCCCTCTATTCGTATGGCCGCTGTCTTTGGGCAGTTCACCCAGGAGCTGACCACAGGTGAGCCTGACAGGCTGCAGGAAGCATGTTTGGGAACCACCAGGTTATTGCTGCATTTGGGATGAGCCATCTGGGCCAGAAGGAGCCCTGAGGCTTTATCCTCATTGGAGACGTTGACTCTTGGGCCTCTTCCTCCAGCAATCGGAAAGCCACATCTGGGTAAGTAAAGGTGATGGACCTCAGGATCACTCAATGAGCTCCACATAGTTGGCAGGGAACATGCCAAAGTGGCCATCAGGCCCATAGCCTCGCCACCAGCCTTCGTCGATCACCTCAATGCCCGTAATGAGATTCTCAGGGTCAAAGGAGATCTCTGTGTCATCAGCTACAAGGAAGGCAAGATGGGGTGGGTGCTGATCAGGTCCTGCCCATACTCCCCCACCCTTCACTTGCCCCCGGGTCTCTGCATCCCCCTTGGGAGCATCCCTCTTCCATTCAGCCTGTAAGTGGTTCAGCATCACTGTCACTGCAGTGGGCCCACTGCAGGGCCACCTTCTTCCTGAGCACTGTGGGAGGCTGAAGATGCTCCAAGGCACCGCTCCAAGGCCTCCACCTGGGCAGGGATGCCTGGTACCAGTGTCCAGGCTTAGCTCAGCTCATGGAACAGACATGGAGGTTCTACAAAAACAGCCACTGCTTAGGGATGGCAAGCAGTTTCCAGTAAGCTAGGATGTGAGAATGCCTAGGCTCTTAAGGATAGAAACTCTAGTACCACAGTCATCACCCTCCAAAGAGGCTCTGTCCTCAAAACATGCTTCCTACTTGGGGATATTCTCTTCTGACACCCCTGGGGCCATCCTCCAGGACCTGTAGCTCAGGGCAGCCAAGTGGGGCACCTTACCTGCCTGATAGTCGTACAAAGCCCGGGCACACAACCCTTGCCCACTGAGCCCCCGGCCTTGAGCGTAGTGGTCAATGAGCTCAGCACTGGCACCTTGCTGCTGCACCTGTTGGTAGGAAGAAGACATCATTGCCCTCCACTCAGCCCTCACACACAGGTGGCTCAGGCTGGGATGGGGGGCAGAAGACACAACATATGGGTGATGTGCAGCTCTGGGGGGAGGAGGAGGGATAGGAAACTGCTACTTCTGCCCTGACAACACAACTGTGACCTTGAGGTGCAGAAGAAAAGGCAGCACATATACCTCCAGCCATAGACTAAGGATACATACAATTCAGCACAGGCTGCTTGAAGTGTCAAATGAAAGCCAGGCATGGTGGCTCAAGCCTGTAATCCTAGCTACTTGGGAGGCAGAAATGGAGGATTTTTTTTTGTCGGTTGTGGGGCTTGAACTCTGGGCCTGGGCGCTGTCCCTCAGCTCTTCAGCTCAAGGCGAGCGCTCTACCACTTGAGCTACAGTGCCACTTCCGGTTTTCTGGTGGTTTATTGGAGATAGGAGTCTCACGGTCTCTCCTGCCCGGGCTGGCTTTGAACTGCGATCCTCAGATCTCAGCCTCCTGAGTAGCTAGGATTACAGGCGTGAGCCACCAGCGCCTGGCTAGACATGGAGGATTTGAGGCTAGCCTCAAACGAAAGTTTGAGATTCCATCTCAATCAATGGGTGGGGATAGCCGTGCATACCTGTCATTCCTAATATTGTGGAGAAGCATAAACAGGTAGAATGAATGCAGCCCAGACCAGCCCCGACATAAATTAAGACTCTACTTTGAAAATAATCACAGCAAAAAGGGACTGGAGGCATGGCTCAAGTGGTAAAAGTACCTGCTTAGAAAGTATGAGTTTGATTTCTCCATCTCTTCTACCACAAAAAGAAAAAAGTTGGAGAATTGCCACATGCTTGAAAGTCTACAGTGTGGGACTGTGGCTAAGTGACAGAGCATTTACCAAGTTTGTTCAAGTCCATGACACTCATCTCCAATAAACCACCAGAAAAGTGGAAGTAGCACTGTGGCTCAAACACTAGTCTTGAGCAAAAGCTCAGGAACAGCACCCAGGCCATGAGTTCAAGCCCCTCAACCAACAAAACAACAAAAACCACTCACACATAAAAAAAACAAAAAACAAACCAATGACGACAACAACAAAAAAACCCGCAAACCAGACATGATGGCCCATACCTCTGATCCCAATGCTGAAAATTGAGGCAAGTTCTAAGTGAGCATGGGCTGGGCTACATATTCTGTCTCAAAAACACCCCAAACCCACAACCCCCCCTTGCAGTACACCATTAAAATCCAGACCTGTGACTCCCTCACAGCCCCATCCCCCACAGGGAACCTACCAGTGGGGACTCTTCGTAGAGGGTCTCCTGTTCCGGGGGCTCCTCATATGTGGCTTCCTCTTCTGCCTGCACCATAAATGGAGTGCTAGGCACTGGCTCCTCACAAACATCTGCACCAGAAGATATAGCAGGTTTTGATCTCTCCCTCCCACAACAGGTCCCTCTCTACCGCCCCCTTCAGAGACCTATGGAGTAACCAGTGCCTTGCCTGCTCTGGGGCTTGAAACAGTGGCAGCTGACTCTCTGCCAAAGGAGGTCTCTGGTTGGGTAAGCTGCTTCTGCAGGAAGGGGCTCCTCAGCTTGCCTGTAAAACCCCAACCAACACAATGCCACTTCAGAAACACCACGGAAGTCCTTGTGCCAGCAAAAGGCAGGATGGGACACTGGGCCCTGGGCTGCCCTTTCCACCCCCTCTTCCCTTGTGCCCTGCACAGCACTCTAGGCTTCCCCTCAGCCCACCCAGCCTTGTGGCCAGGGCGAAAGAGAAGTTCTACCTGGCTGAGGGCTGGAGATAGAGGTGGTAGACATGGCCCTCTCCTTCTGCTTGAAAATCTCCCTTGGGTGTGTGGCCCGCTGACCAGCAGACTCCTGGAGGAGTATACATTGACCTCAGCAGTGAGCAGGAACCCAACAGCTTCTCATCGCACTTCACTGCCCCACCCCAAAGGCAGGCAATCCAGCTGTGGCTAGGTGGTGGGAAACTGACACGGCCTCTCCCAGGACTGGGCCAGAAGCTCTGTCATGGCTTTCCTCACTGGTCCTTCTGATGTGCCTAGATGTACCTTAGGTTCATTGTACATGTCTGGGCTGAGCCCTCCATCTGTGGCTTGAGGCTTTGACTTGAGGGAGATGGGTTCAAACCAATAAGTTCCCAGGCCCCATGGAAGGAGATACCCAAGACTCACCTGCTCCTCTCTGTCCCTTGAACCTGCTTCTTGCTGCTGCTCATACATCCTGGGAAGGGGGGAGGAGGGGAAGAGCTGAGGATTGCTGGCTGTCCCTGAGACTGTGCCCTCAGTCCTTTTCCCTCTAAGAGATTAAGTTGAGGGCACAGAGACACCTGAAGATCTATGTTCCAGAGCAGCCTCTACCACAAGGGTTAATATCTTGATTCAGCCCAGGATGGGCTCACCTTTGGTAGCTGGCCTTGCTTTGCTGTTCCTGGTAGCGCTGTTCCCGGCGAGCAGCCTCCTGCAGCTCCCGCTCCCGGCGTTCCTGTTCCAGCCGCTGGTGCTCTTCATCAGCCCTTCGCTTCTCCTCCAGCCGACGGTTCTCTTCCTCCTTCTGAAAGGGGAGCTGCCCACTCAGCCCCATGCTGCCTCCTTGGCCTCACCCCCTACCCCTACTGCTCACTTTTGCTGTGACTTAAACCATTTAGGCCTTCACTTTAATCATACATAATGGGCAGCCAAAGACCTATACAAGATGTTCACTGGTGCACGCGTGCATGTGCGTGCACACACACACACACACACATGCACATGCATTTACCTCAGCTTTGGCCCAAAAGCTATCTTTGCCAACTCTCTTGATCTCAGATGCAGCATTGGTCTTCTGGTATACAGATCCCTGCGGGGACAGAGCATACACTGGAGAGCTGGCCCCACACAGAAGCTTGGACACTGAATGCAGAGGAAGATTGGTTGAGAAGATTCTCAGGGCTCTTAAGGGAGCAGGTGAACACTACTAGGACCTTACCCAGTGGGCACAGTGGAACAGAGCTTACTATCACCCTCAGGGACACAAACAACAAAATGTACAGACAGAAGTCCAGGACTTGGCTGTGGTGGCACACACCTGTAATCCCAGCACTCGGGAGGCCGAGACCAGCTTATTATATAGTCAGACCCTGTTACAAACAAAACAACAAACCACAAAAGGAGAGCAGCATAGGTAACTGCCCTAGCAGGGATGTGAATCCTGACAACATTGTCTGATGGTGCCTGGCCTTTATGGACAGGGGAAGGAAAGGCCCTGTCTGTAAGCCCTTCGCCAGGCTGCTCCTCAGACATGGTAGCATCCATGGGAATCACTACAAATCCCAATTCTTATTTCTGATGATACAGTTACTGGCTGTCCGCTCTCTGGTGCTAGGCCAGAGGGTTTTTTGGTTTCAGGCTCTGCTCTGATGCCACCTGAAGTTTCTATGAAGTGGCTCCTGCCCCAGGTCATGCTGGCACTGTGACCCTGGAGGTGGCTATCATAGCTTTACACTCTTGAAGAGCCTCTCCTCTGAACAAAGGCTCCAGAATAGCTACTTCAACTACTAGTTGTGGTTGGTTGGTACAGAGCTTCGGGTTACCATCTGTGGGCAGGAGGGCCCAACTACCTAGATGCCATCAGTACACTTCTGGCCCCACTCTGACATCTGGAGCAATGAAGGACCAGTGATGCGTAGGTGGCACTCACCACTGGAGCCTGGGGCCCTGCATCCTGGAAGCTGCTGCTTTCTCTGTGGAAACTGTAGTTGGCCCCAGAGGCCTTGGCTACCTTCTGCATGATGCACTCAGGCTCCACGTCCTCCTCGGCTCGTGCATTGATGGTCACATGGGCCCCCTGTAGCAGGAGCAGCACTTAAAAATATAAGCTTTGCAATCCAGAAAAGGACTGACCAATCTCCTATCTGTCCACATAGCAAAGGCCACTACTGTACTCAGAAGTAGTATCAGGTGATGGAAAGGCACTTCTCTGCTGGGAACCAAAGCCTGCCCTCCCTGACTGAGCTGCGGGTGCTACAGAGTCTCTGATGTAGTTCAGCAGATGCATAGGCATGAACAATACAAAAAGCCTCCTTCTAACCAAGTTAACTTAAAAGGCCATGCTGGAACAGGCACATTTTCTACAAACAGTGAACCACTGACTTATTCCTGAGACCTGTGACCTCTTTAACTGTTACTATAGACCCACTGGGATGGAGCTCAGTGGGAGGGCCTTGCCTAGCTTAAGTGGTAAAGTGCCTTGCCTAACATGTGGGAGGCCCTGGGTTTCAATCCTCAGGACTGAAAATGCATGTATGCATGCATGCGTAAGAAACAGCAGCTCAAAAGCTCTCAGGTACTAGTTGGAAAAGCCAAGGTATATATCAAGATGTGTGAGTAGAACTGGAAACTGGAGTTTCAAGTCTCCTTGACAGTAACCAAAGGCCTGGAATGTAGCTCAATGACAAAGTGCTTGTCTAGCAAGAGCAACATCTTGCATTCGATTCCCAGTACCAAAAAAGAAAAGATAAAAAAAAAAAAAAGACAGGAACCAAGGAAATGGAAAAATACACTCAATAAGTAAAGAACAGGGGCTAGGAATGTGGCTTAGTGGTAGAGTGCTTGCCTAGCATGCATGAAGTCCTGGGTTCAATTCCTCAGTACCACATATATAGAAAAAGCCGGAAGTGGCGCCATGGCTCAAGAGGTAGAATGCTACCTCTTGAAACTCAGGGACAGTGCCCAGGCCTTGAGTTCAAGCCCCAGCACTGGCAAAAAATAAAACAACAACAACAACAAAAAACAAGGACAGATTACTTTTGACAGAAATACTTTTGGTGGAACTGGGGTTTGAACTCAGAACCTTACACTTTACAAGGTAAGCACCTTATCATTTGAGCCATAGAGTCAGCGCCAGTATAAATGCTTTGGAAGCTGGGTGTCGGTGGCTCACACCTGTAATCTTAGCTACTCAGGAGGCTAATATCTAAGGATCATGGCTTAAAGCCAGCCCTGACAGGAAGGTTCATGAGACTCTTATCTCCAGTAAGCCACCCAAAAACCCGAAGTGGCACTGTGGCTCAAGTGGTAGAGCACTAGCCTTGAGCTGAAGAGTGCAGGGACAGTACTCAGTCTGAGAGTCAAGCCCCACAACTGACAAAAAAAAAAAAGCTTTAAAAATTGGGGGAAAAAAAAGAAGAAAGTACAATTGTAAGACAAGTAATATTACTACTTTGGAAATGGCCTGGAAAGGAAAGCATCAAAAGGATACAGGTTAGCCGGGTGCTAGTGGCTCATGCCTGTAATCCTAGCTACTCAGGAGGCTGAGATCTGAGGATCGCAGTTCAAAGCCAGTCCGGGCAGGAAAGTCTGTGAGACTCATCTCCAATTAACCACCAGAAAACTGGAAATGGTGCTGTGGCTCAAGTGGTAGAGTGATTGCTTTGAGCTGAAGGGCTCAGGGACAGTGCCCAGGCCCAGAGTTCAAGCCCCATGACTGACAAAAACAACAACAAAGGGGTACAGGTTAGGGTGGTGGGCTTACAACCTGTTCTTTCATCCAAATCTTGAAAAAAATGACTAAACTGCTCAGAGTGATCATAAACAAAGCAGAATCCTGGGTTCAGCCTGTCCACTAGATTAGCACCAACAGAGTCCTTATTCTGCCCTATGGAGGCCAGCCTGCAGGGAGCTCTGGCTTCCTAGCAGCCTCTGCCTATGAACCTAAGGGCCAAACAGAACATCAGTAAACAAGCTTCCAACTCTAGCTCTATCCTGACTCACTTGCATTCAGGTACATGAGATGTTTGATCCTACAAGTCCCCTAATAGGCAGAAAGACAGCCTTAGCCCTCACCTTCAGGAAGTTGGCCATGGTACTGACGTGGTTGGCGCATGCTCCCTTCCGGACATCATTCACACCCTCACCTGTCTGCAATATAAGCATATCTGGTATTACCCAGGCCTCCTCTAAAGCCACTTCTCTGCCCACAAGTACTCAGAAACCCACTAGCTTTTCTGTCCCTGCCAGAACAGCCCCTCTTCCATCCTCCAGAACAGAAACCATTCTCCCAATTCAGTCAGTAAGATTAGTCCTCAACCTCCAAGAGGCTCAAGGATATTCTCTGCATAGGACTGCTGCTGGCTCCCATTGTGGGGTCATTTCCTAAGCCTTCCTGTCCCCACCAAAGGGGTTCTACTCTTCTGGAGGCCTTCACCCCATACTCGCAGGCTCCTGTGCACTCCCTTGGGCCCTTCTCAAGGGAAGGACTACCTGGAAGGAGAAGGAACAGTAACTTCTTGTGACTGCTTTTACTCCATTTTGCAGGAATAATTCTGGGCTTGAAGATGGATTCTATGCAGCAAGGCCAGTTATTCTTTGAACCACATTGATTTAATTCACTATTCTGCTCATTGGCCTGCTCTGAGCTGTTCTGTTGATCTACTGAGTGAAGTCAGTAAAATATTCTGTTTCTGAAGTCAAGTCAAAGCAGAAAAGAAGACCAGGGATTTTCATCAGTCACACTAGCTGAAACAAGACCACATACCCAATTGATGAGGACAAACTTTGGCAGACCAGAGTTGGGATCTTTCACCCTGCAGAAGGCATACATCACCTTCCCGCTGTTGAGCTCCTCCACCAACTCCTCCAGGCCACCCTCTGCAGAATCATAGGTAAGATCAGAAACAGCTCATGCCTTTGACTGCCCAGGTACCTGATCCTGGTATACAGGAGTCCAAGACGCCTGCATCCAGGGCTTCTCAGGCCACCTATTTCAGAATTATACTGGAAACTATGTTTAAAATCAAATTCCTGCTGGGTACCAGTGGCTCATGTAATCTCAGCTACTCAGGAGACTGAGCTTCAGAGGATAGTGCTTTCAAGGCCAGCCCAGGCAGAAAAGTCTGTTAGATACCATTTCCAAAATTAACTGGCACAAACAGGGCTAGGGATGTAGCTCAAATGGTAACCTACCAGCTAAACAAGGAAGCAGGTTGAGTAAGCACAAGGCCCTAAGTACAAACCCATATACCACCACCACCCCAAAAAAATGGGAGGAAAAATAAAATCCTGAGATGGGCTGTAGCTCAGTGGTGTAGTGCTTGCCTGACATGGAAGTACAGGTTCCTAGGTTTTAGTCCCAGAACCATTAGATAAATAAATAAATCAGATTCCTGGGGGTGAGGATATAGCTCAGTAGTAGAGCTCTTACCTTACCTAACAAAAGGTCCTAGATTACCGATACCATAAGATAATAATAGTAATGATAGCGATTCCTTGGCCTTGCCCCTACTAGGCTGATTTCTTTATTTTGTTGGTCATTGGGCTTGAACTCTGGGCCTGAGTGCTGTCCCTCAGCTCTTAAGCTCAAGGCTAGCATTCTACCACTTGAGCCATAGTGCCACTTTCAGTTTTCTTGTGGTTTATTGGAGATAAGAGTTTCAAAGCTCAGGGACAGTGCCCATGCGCTGAGATCAAGCTGGCTGGCACTCTCTCTCTCTCACTGTAAACCAGCCACCAGACTTCCAAATGGAGGGTCAATACATTAGTTTTGCTGTTTGTCCTATGGATCCCACAAAAGGCTCAGGATAGTTAGGCAAGACCATTTGTATTCCAAGGCTACCCAAGGGGTTGGACCTTGTGAAACATCCTGCAGCTAAACTACTAGTTCCTCCTTCAGAGTCTCTGATGGGGGGGGGGGGGTCAGGATATGCTGCCTTACATCATTCTTCTGAATGAGCTTAAACTCCTGAACTTCTTGGGCATGAAGTAAGGCAACTGGAGCAGGTATTTCAGCTAGAGTCCACAGAATCTGGGCATGAGATACTGAATCTGCACTGCTTTGTGCCACTGGAAAGCAGTACTAGGAAACTCAGGTAGGTGCACCAGCTGGGCACCAGCCAGCCATGTGCAATGACGATGCAGAGGCAATATTACAAAGAGGATGTATCAGAGAGAACAGCTTATAGCAGGAAGAAACTTTCTATCAATGAGACACTAAAGTCATACTTAAGTTTAACAGGGCAAAGAATATATTTCAGGCATCCTTGAACAATGAAGCCATGTACTGCAAGGGGGAGGGGAAGGGCAGGGAGTTGGGGAAGGTTAGGCAGATCAGGGAAGACAGTTTAAGCATGAGGAGGGATCAGGCTTTTCTCAGCTGGAGACATGTGGCTTATATCCCCTTTATCTCTGACTTTGCCTACTTTGCCTCTGTCCGTTGGTGCCAGGAGTTGGTCGTTCCTGCTCATAGGCCTCCTTGACCACCTGCAACAACACCGCCTCTTCCTGTGTGTAGCTGGCCAGCGCAGAGCAGACAGAAGAGGACATGTCTGTGGACCTTTTTTACCTGCACTATCTCTTAGAATAGCATCTTCCAATGGAGTACCCTGGACACAGGCTGCCTCTGTGCTGAATTCCCTCTTCTTTCTTTGATGGCTAAAATGTCAGCAAAATGGACCGGTAACAGTCATTTTCCTGCCTTCTGGTGCTGAAAACCCATTTGGGTCATACTCACCCCCAGTGCCAGCCACACGGATGTCATTGCTGTTGCCTTCATAGGTAAAGAGAGCCCTGAAACAAAACAGAAGTGTGCTCAGTGGCCAGTAGTATGGGCTCCATGTGTCTTTAGTGCACCTAGCACAGCAGGTACTAGCTCTGCTCTTCCCTGCTGACTCACCAGGCAGGTGCTAAGGCAGGTGAGGCTTGCTGTGAGGACAAAGACGTGGAAATGAGGAGCACAGGTCTACTTAGAGGAAAACATTGGCTGTAGAGGTTTACATTATCGTTCTACAGGTTCATGGCTAAAATATGCCTCTGACTACCAGGAACATGAATCTGAAAAGACAAAAGATACTCGCAACATATTCCTGAACACAAAGTACCTAAAGGAGAAGCTGGAGAGAGGAAGAGAGTCACCAGGCACCCTGGAAAGCTGCCCAATATCCTTGGGCCTATTTGCCTTCGGTAAAGCCTGAAAGGTGGCACACTAGGTCCAGCGTGGGTGTGAGACTCCCACAAACACAAGTTTTAACAAGCATGTACAGCATTAGAAACCAGAAGCAGTGACACAATATGAAGTCCCAGTCAAGACTACCAACCTGCCACTCCTCTCATGGACCCATGCCATGGACAACTCTCTATCTAGCACAGCCTTAAGTCTCCACTGCTGACACTGGGCTGTGTCTTTTCTTCTCTTGTAAAGAGAAGACTCTTCATAAGAGTCTGGAAAGGCTTTTGGTGTATAAACTGGTACTACTTAAGTGGTAAAGAAGTATAGTAAATTTAAGTCTGAGCCATGCAGTCTCTTGACCAAAACAAAGGTTCCTTAAGGAGAGTAATCTGGAAGAGGTCTCATAGAGGTAAGGTGGGCATGAGGTCTCCACAGTGCACACGGAGCCCAGCCACCAGCACCAACACTGTAGCAATGCTGCATGGGCAAAGGGTAGGGACACCCCGCCCAGTATCTGTCACCTCCCCAGCCTGAGAGAGGTAATTTGGACAGAAATTCAGAAGTCAGGGACTTTCCAATGCCACTGGAGAAATGTGTTTGCCTGAGAAAGATAGAGAACTCAGACACAGGTTCAGCAGGCCTGGTAAGCAGGGAACAGACAGGCTACTAAGAGCTGTTGCTTATCGGAAGATGAAACAATAGAGAAGAAACATTCAAGAAAAAAGACCAGAGAAAAACAGGAGAAAGAAAGACTGGGGAGTTGGAGGAGCCATCTTAAAAAAAGGAAGACCAGGGGCTGGGAAGGTGGCTCAGTGGTAGCGTGCTTGCCTTGCATGCATGAGGCCCTGGGTTTGATTCCTTAGCACCTATAAGCAGAAAAAAAAAAAAGCTGGAAGTGGCTATGGCTCAAGTGGTAGCGTGCTAGCTAGCCTTGAGCTGAAGAGCTGAGGGACAGCACCCAGGCCCAGAGTTCAGGCCCCATGACTGGACCCCCCCACCCAAAAAAAAAGGAAGACCAGGCTGGGAAGGTGGCTCACTGGTCAAGTGCTTGCCTTGCATCCATGAGGCCCTGGGTTCGATTCCTCAGCACCACATAAGCAGAAAAAGCCGGAAGGGGTGTTGTAGTTCAAGTGGTAGCGCGCTAGCCTTGAGCTGAAGAGCTGAGGGACAGCGCCCAGGCCCAGAGTTCAGGCCCCACTACCGACAAAAAAAAAAAAAAGACCATTCCTGCTGATGGACCCAAGTCTCTGGATACCAGCCAGGGGATGAAGAAAAGCACAGCGGCAGAGGACAGAAAAGGCTCTGCAGTTAATATGGCCAAACTCCAGGCCTGCTGCCTACTCCTCTGACTTTATCCCTTCTCTTCAGGGTTCCACTCTAAACCATTTCAAGAATATGCCCAGTTCAGAGAAACATCCCACAGTCAATGGAACTCCACCCTTCTTTCAAATCAACATGAAAAAAACATAGTGAGCTGGCCTACATACAGCAAATATCTTATTATTCAACCATTCTTTCAAAAAATGTGTTCTAAGAACCTGTTTACTGTGATATGAGTGTGACCATGAATAATCCCCAAAAGGTTCTGCCCATGTTAACAGAGACAAAAGAATACTGAGCTGGGTGTGGTTGGCTCACGCCTGTAATCCTAGCTACTCAGGAGGCTGAGATCTGAGGATTGCGGTCAAAGCCAGCCAGGGCAGGAAAGTCCCAGAGACTCTTATCTCCAAAAAACCACTAGAAAACCAAAGTGCCACTGTGGCTCAAGTGGTAGAGCGCTTGCCTTGAACTGAAGAGCACAGCGACAGCACCCAAGCCCAGAGTTCAAGCCCCGACTGACCAAAAACAAACAAACAAAAAATACATTTAATTTTATATCTGGTTAGGGAGTAAAGTAGGCACAGAAGGTGACATATAAACTGGATGAGAACAAATCATGTCCAGATCTGGGCTGGAGACAAATCCAAGATTGAGAGCCAAGGCTCTGGGTCTAGTCTCAAGGCCTGGTGCAATGGTACCTCCTCTGTGTAAAACCTTCTATGATCCACCAAATTGAAGGCCATCTCCTTTCTTTGATATTCTATACTGCCTTTTCTGTATAGCTTATCCATCCATTATCTGACCATCTACTATACAAAACAATTGGGCACTAGAGCCAAAAGACCCCCTTCTAGTGAAGTGATAAAAGTGACAAAAAATAAAACAAAACCAACAACAACTATAAACTAGTCCATGAGTTTCAGGCATGTCTGTTATGTATCTGAAGGAAGTCACTGAGGTGAATGCAGTTGGGAGGCTGAGTCTAGGAAAGCCTCTGAGAAGGCAACTTCAAGAGTGGATATGAAGGCTGGAGAGCCACTTGAAATGATGTGGAAGAAGTTTGCTCTGGGCAGAGGAAGCAGCAAGAGGGCTCTGAAGAGGAACCAGATCAGATGTTTGAGGAAGAGAAAAACGGCATGCAGAGTGGTGGTGAATAGGTGTGGCCACAGGAGGGGAACAGGAAGGCGGTCATATGGTGGTCAGGCAGGGCAGGAGTCTGGGCTTTACTCTAAGTGCAACGGGAAGCCACTGCAGAGTTATGGGGAGGGAAGTAAGATGGTTCAGATATATATTTCAGCTTATGAGTGAGGACCTGCCCCATAGTGTTGTTGAGTAACTAAATGGCTGTGACTCTGGGTAGAAGCCAGAGTCTCATTTAGTGAACAGAACAACTTGAAATGCTGAAGAAGCTTGGAGGTGAATGAGAGGGTAGAAATATAGCTAGCTGTCTGAGCAGAGGATATGGTGAGAGAAAAGAGTAGGCCCTGAAGCCTCAGAAGGGAAAAAAAGTAGGTGGGGTAAGCCAGTACCAGACCAAGGTGGCAGCAGACCCCAAGAAAAGACCAGGAACACTAGAGTTCTGCACAGCCAGCTGGGCTGTGATAGTTTCCAAGACAACTGAGGCACCAAGGAAGTGCAGAGGAAACAAGAAAGCATTTAGATAAGAGAATGTGGTGAGTCACAGCAACAGAGTTTGGTTCAGACAATAGGAAAAAGCTCCACAGGGCCCAGGACTACTTCTGGCTTCTGTGCAGAAGGAGGGGTGAGGGGAGGGGGTAGGGGTGAGGGGAGAGGGGTCCATCATAACGCCACCCTTGAGGTCTAGTTTCTATTCTCCACGGTTGGTCACCTTAGTTCACTATACCTAGCAGATTTCTCATACATGGAAATGCTAAGAACTGGTTAATAAAAACATTTGGGAGGGGCTGGAAGTGTGGCTTAGTGGTAGAGTGCTTGCCTAGCATGCGTGAAGCCCTGGGTTTGATTCCTCTGTACCACATAAACAGAAAAAGCCAGAAATGGTGCTGTGACTCAATTGGTAGAGTGCTAGCTTTGAACAAAAGAAGCTCAGGGACAGTGCCCAGGCCCTGAGTTCAAGCCCCGGGACTGGCAGAAAAAAAAAATGAAGAGGAAAGTGAACCGGCATTGCAGTATCAATTATTCCTACTGCAAAGAGCTGAGTATGGGGGCATGCAGAAAGCTGTACAGGATTATGCTAGAAAGTTCAGATCCAGGCTCCCAGCATAGTAAGGTCCTGTTTTCCCCCCTGTGGGGCTTGAACTCAGGGCTGTGTGCTATGCCTTAGCTTTTTCGCTCAAGGACAGTGTTCTAACCACTTGAGAGCCACAGCTACATTTCTGGCTTTTTGGTGTTTAATTGAAGGTAAGAGTCTCAGACTTTCCTGCTGGCTTTGAATCACAATCCTCAGATCTCAGCCTCGTTGAGTAGGAGGAGGATTACGGGCTTGAGCCACGGAGCCTGGCGGAACTGCATGATGAGACCTATACAATGGACAGCCTAGCAGAGGGGCGGGAAGAGAGGGGCCTTTTCCCAGACAGGTGACTAGCATCCTTCATTCTTCTCCCCATGACTCAGGCACAGGAAAGAGAAATAGAGACCCACCTCTGAACTCCTTATCTGAGCCTCAGGACAAGCTTAAGTTCCCAACAGTGCTGTCAGACCACGAAGGCCCATTCCCAACCTCAGCATTAGGCGTCCACCTTCGGAGGGGTGGCACCTTCGCAGGACGCCGGGTCTCTAGCGAGTCCCAGAATGGGAAAAGATCTGCGAGGCCGGCGCGCGAGTCCTCGCCGAGGCCCGCGGGGCCGAGCGTGCGGCGAGGCAGGGCAGTGGGCTCGGCGGTCCACCGAGGGCGATGAAGGGGTGCTGAGGTGGGCTGAGAGCTGGGCTCTGCGCCCCTGAGAGAGGCCCCCGGCGCCCCCTCCAATCCCGCCCACCACCCCGGCCCGACCCGCCTCGCTGCCCACCAGTCCGTCGGGGACTTCTCGGTGACCACCCGCACGTAGGCCTCCTGTAGCGCCGGCCCGTTCCGGCTCAGGTTCGCCGCCATGGCACGCCCCGCGGCTTCCCACCCGAGCAGCCGCAGCTCTCCGCCGGGCCTCCCCTGACGGCTCCGGGACTCGCCTCTGCCGACGGAAGCCCCGCCTCCAATTCCGGAAGCGGAAGTGGGGCTGAACACGCGAAAGGGCCTGTCGGGTAGCGAGTGTCTCTTTGGTCTGTGCTGTGTGGGCTCCCGACACAGACAGACTAGCGGCAGCCAGACTAGCAGGGCTGAGGGGGACTGACGTCGGCTCACCCTCCGGGTGACCTTCCGGAATGCGGCCTGGAGCGTTCTTGGGTCCCAGCCCCTTCTTAGAGGTTTCTGGAGGACCTGGCACGTCCTGTTAGAGTTCTTGTTCTAGTTCATTAAGGCATTCATTTGAGAGATCGTAGACTCATGAACCTCCCCCAGTACATGGACCCCCATCAGAAGCTTCCTCTGTGAGGCCAGGCGTGGTAGACACGCCTGTCATCCCTGCGCTTGGGAGGGTTGAGGCATGGTCGCGAGTCCGAGGCTAGTCTGGGTTGCTGGAGCATGAGTATGTGAAGCTGATGGGGAACGAGTGGAATGTACTTTATCTGTCTATCTGCAAACAGCATGATGACCCCCACGGAGAAACTCTTAAAAAGGAGGTTAGAGGAAAGCGGGAGCTTGAGTTAATATACAGGTGGTGATTATTTTATTAGCATACATTTCTTGTACAAGGGGGAGTTTCTTTGTGACATGTATCTACATGCATATAATGTATCCTAGTCAAAACTCATGGGGTGAATTTGCTCAAAGTACATTATGTGCATGTATATAAATGTTACAATGGAACCCCTTTGAGCAATTCTTTGTGCTAATAAAAATAAAAAATAAGGAAAGAAAAAGAACAGTATGATAGGCTGAGGCTGGGGTGGTGGAGAAATGAAGAGAAATGGCCTTGTGCTTCACCACATTGGGATGTTTGCCCAGTCAGCAGCAAGAGGCCCATCTTGCTCAAACCCACTTCCTCACAGGGCACACCTCTTCTTTCTACCCACAGGTGTGCCTGCATTGGCTGAACTAATTTCCTGGAAGGGAAACTGGACAAGAAGGAAAGCAGCTCATAGTTTGCTTCCCTACCATGGAGAACTAATTCACTGGCTTTATACTGCCCAGCCTGAGGAGAACTTACCCTTACCTGAGATCCAGTTGTGCAGGCCAAAGGGGATGTTCTGGTATTAGACCAGCTCAGAATGGGACAAGGCTCACCCAGGCTGCTAGGGAAAAGCAGGGGGATGGGGGAGCGGGGAGAGACCGGGACTGGACTAGGCTGCATGGAAAGAAGGCAACAGGAGGGGTCGTTACCTAAACCTAAGGTTTGTATTGCTTACTGTTCCTCTATTAATAGCTGGAAGACAGAATTCTATTAGTGAAAGGAAAGAGATTTAAGACTGGCCCTGAGGAAAGTATAGTAGTAGCCTTTTCTATCTCAAATCTCCACCTTCAGGGGACCCAGACATGCCAAGAGGCTTTTGTGGAACACAAAGGGTACAGTAAATCGCTGGGCAGGAAACTCCCATACTGGTCAAGGTTTTTTTTTTTTTTTTTGTCCCGTTGTGGGGCCTGAACTCTGGGCCTGGGCGCTGTCCTTCAGCTCTTCAGT